ACATTTTTAACAAAGGCGGTCCAAATATTTCAATAAATAATAAAGTTATTAATTAATAGCTATTAATTATATTAATAACCTGGAATTACTGGTATTAATAGGCTGAAATTATTGTGGAAAAGGCTTTGGAACCAGTATAGCTTGGCATAATTTGTAAATATAAATACAGTATTTTAACTATTATTATAATTTGCAAAAATATTTATCTGCAAATCATTGTATAATAATCATAAGTGTTAACTACTATTAGCTATTATTTAATAACTATCAATCATTTTATTTTATTTAATTCTTTTTTATTTAAGCTGAAATAAAATATAAATATAAATATAATAATATATAAAATCATTTAACTAATAGTCTTTATAATAAATAATATAACTGAAAATATTCATTATAAAAATTAATTTTAAGTTAAAATACTAGAAATGACTACAACTAAAACAGAAATAGAAATAATATATTACTAATAATATATACATATTGTTTTACTTTTCAACATTGATTTTAACATTGTTAACATGGCACGTGGCTTGATTTAAAAAAAAAGGATTTCTTTATTTTATGATCTTCATTATCATTGAAATAGAACATATATTAAAAAATTGAGCTTAAAAAAATGTTGAAATAAAAAATAAGCAAAATAACTTAAAGGGGCCCTATTATTAGGGTTGCCATCCCCACTTGAGAATGATCACCGATAAGGCTGCGCAATCCTCTGCCACCAATTCCGTCCGTGTTTTCACTTCAGTAAATCAGTTTTGGTGAATACAAACTATGTGATTATTTTTCATGAGTCCAACATCCCGCCACGCAAGAAACGTGATCAGTAAGGGAAGTCGTCTTTCACTATTGTAATGTTGTTAAATTGAGAAAAAACATTTTATATTTAAGTAACTAATAGCATAATTCTTAATCTTGGACCTTATTCTGGTCCAAATGTGGAAGTCGTGTCCTAATGGTTAGAGAGTCGGACTCGTAACCCAAAGGTTGTGGGTTCGATTCTCGTACCGGCAGGGATTGTAGGTGGGGGG